TGGCCGTTTACTTCATTGACTTTTTCTTTAAAGGTAATTTAACATACAAAAACACCCTGATATGGCCCAGTGTAACACACCAACTAGTAAAATTTTCTTGCTTTTTGGGAAGAAGCGTGTGCTACAGTAGGTAGTAAAATGTGTCACCTAAATTAGCAGGTATCACATTTTTCTAATTACTTACAAGTATATTTGCCACATCTTTACTTCATTTCTGTATAAATGAACCTGCATGCCTGTTCATGCCAGTGCCTTAGAAAACAAAGATCCTAAATAAGGGAAAAATCTTGCACTGGGAGTTGGGTTTGCATTATTTTAGTGGTGGACAAGTGGAAGCAGTGATGCAGATTTAGTTTTCTAATTATAATTTAGGTGGGTGTGACATAAGTAGACTTGAGTACACTTCTGAATGGTGCATTTAGGTTGAAACTGTAACGAAATGCTCTTATCTCAAACGGCAGGAGATAGGTCCCTATGCAAAGCAGGAGTAACTTTGTTTCAGAGCTACAGCTATTCAAACACTTGTTTTGCTGTATGGTATCAGTTGTCATCTGAGATAAGAGCCGCATCTTAATGCACAGTTTCTGGATCCAAGGGAATGTAAATTTAATGAAATGCAAAGCTGCTGGATAGCCTGCAAAGCGAGGCTGCCTGCGGATGCTGCACGATCAAAGTTTGCCTGCCTTCACCCTGGAAGGACCACTACTACATTGCTGACCTTCTGTGTGAGAAAGGCTAATCACGAAGGCAGTAGGATGCAGCTCCGGAGTGGGGGAATTGTGGCCATCTCGGAGCCCTCCTTGGAGAGGCGCCTGGTCAAGTTAGAACCTTGGCACAGTTGCACAGTTGCTGAAGGATGCTATGAGGAAGAGCTGTTGCCCTCAAAGGGTCATAATGTTTTCCAAGAAGTATAATAGTTTGTGGCTGCTATAAAACTGAAGTAGCTTTGTGTGTGTTGCTTCTCTTCCCCAAGCTTTATGGATGTAGCTACTTTTTAGATTGTGCAGTGCTGTAAAGTGTACCTGTCAGGGCAGCAATGTTTTCTTTCAGGAATATAAGACTATGAAAAAGGTACATGGTGTTCAGTAATACAGTGAAAGCTGCTCCAGAGCTATACTAACTTTAAAAAACCTCTGGGGTTGATAGAAAACTTAAATTTGGGGTGTTTTCTGGCCAGTATTTCTAACTTTCTTTGCTGCTTCACATTTTTTTCATTCTGATCCAGATATTAAAATACCTGTCTATATACTTTTGAGGTGGGAAACCTCAACAAAGATCCCAGGTGCCTACTTAAGCAAATCCATGCTTACATGAATGCGGGAATCCCCACAGGATTTGGCCAAAGATGCTCATTATTTGATTGGGTACGGTGTGTGGGCAAGGAGACTTTGAAATAAGCCTTACTGCAGCTGACAGGCCTGGCATTTATCAAACTACTGCAACATCTTCATAATGATCTATTCATTTGAAGCTGCAGAAATAATGCACTGTTCTTATTGACCACTGACCAATCTATGCTTAAATTAACATTAGGCATATTAGCTTGTAGGATTTTCTTTAAAAAAAAAAAAAAAGTTTAGATTTGACTCTCAGGTTTTAAATGTTTTGAGTCTAATAGTAGTTAGTGCAGTTATCAATGCAATTTTACATTCTTAAAGAGAGTAAGTATAATTGGCACAGGAAGTTGGTTTTTATTGTAAATGTTTAAAAGGGTGGTAAGTGTTAAATGTATCTTTTTTTTTTTAATTGGGGTAGATCATAATTCCTAAAGAAACTTTATTTCATTTTCTTGAAAATGTCAACAGCATGTAAATAAAATACACTTTTTGGATGTAAATCTTAGAAATGCACAATGAATGTAGGTTATTAATAAATTAATTTAAATCTTGATGTTCAATATTATGTACATACAGTAAAACTGCTTGCTTTTTTGCTCAAAAGCCATAGGAATGTAACTGAAATTACTTATATTTGAATGAACTTTCTAGTACAGTGTACTTAATGTTAGAGTAAGAAGTTCATATTTTATACAAATCATTTATCTGTTACTAAAGCCTTGGATCACTTGTTCAACTAGTGATTTAAGGGCTTGAGGTTAAGGTCGAGTAGGCCGTAAAAGTCAAGTTGGATGATAATTAATTGGCCTCTTTTATTACATAGCAGTGAGGAATTGATGGAATACCTCAACTGTGTAGTTTCAGAACTTCTTACCATTTCACCTATTTTATGCGAGAGATTAGGAGAGCTTAGGTGCATTTGGAGGCTACCATTGTGCAGGGTGAACACCATGCCAAACTAAATACCCTCTAAGGGTTGGGTTTTTGAGGGAATAAGGAGGTAGGTGCCTGACCTTGAAAATCATGGTTCTAATTTAGCCTTTGTACCAGTTGCTTTCTTGTATAAAATGTATTAATTTAAGCTAGTTTTTTATCTTGTTTACTTACTCTACTTCTGTGGTTGGTTATTTACATCCAGCACTTTGTCTCAAATATATTTATGTTCTACCCTCTTCTGTGACTTAAAGAATAAAAATGAAAAAATAAAATTTCACAATTACCACTACTTAATACAACGCTTGATATCTTTTTCCATCTTCCCATCTCCCTTGCTACTCTTCTGGACTTGTGAAACCGTTGTTGCTAAATACAAATACATTTGATTTGTTAGGAATTAGGAGACCATTCCATTCATCTTAGCAGTGACTTCTAGATAGCTATCTTGCTGGTTAACAGGGAATGTGTTAAACTATTTTTCAGGTTCAGTAGAAAGAATGAAATAACTTGTCTTGCCTGCCTTTTTCATGAGGTACCAATCACTGCGGGAAAGCTTCGGTGAAACTGTCAACAAGCTAGTAAATAGCACCAATCTGGTCTTTACAGTGAGTATAACTTTAAGCGTGGCACTTTCAGTGCCCTCCACACAATATGAAAGACAAAGCAGTGGAGAAGTAATTGAGGACCAGAAAGTTGAAATGCCCTTTAGATATTTTTTTTTCCTTCATCTGAAGTGAAAACTCCTTTGAAATTGCATGAAGACTGGGGATTGCTTTGAGGCAATTGAAGAAGGGTTAAATGTATCTGGTCTCTTTTTTTTTTTTTTTTTTTTTACTCTCCCAAGTTCACTTGTGGGTTTTTATTTTTATTGCTGCTAAAAAAATAAACCTTCAAATAGCGGTATATGGTAGAGCATTTTCTCGGTGGTCTGGCTTGCTGCTTTCCTGGATGTTGCAGCCTTTGCTTTCTGAAAACATAGGCTCTTCTCTTCTAGCCACACTCATTTTGGCTAACTTGTTAACTCACACGTGAGGTTGGATGCTCCCACTAAGGATGGACACCAAATGTGTAAAGCGACATTCAGTCCAAACACAAATGCTGTGTGAAGGCTTCCGAAGCCTAGAAAATACTGTGGTTTTTTGTTGTTGTTGTTGTTGCTTCTGGTGTCTGTTTTTCAAGGTTGGCAAATGTAAGATGCATCTCATGCTCTCAACTAGAAAATGTTTGCTAGAGTTGTCCAGCTGATTAATGGGACTGATTGGATCCTATTGAGATTAATGAGCTCCTACTGGAGACCTAGAATAACAGACTGGTGCCTGTTGGAAAGTGTTTGCCCAATTTTCAAGGCTGCAGACCTGGGGGGGGGGAGGAGAAAGTGTTTCTGAAGTGTAAGGAAAGGGTGATTCATTCCCGTTTCCCCCTTTTGTTGGATGCATTGTATGATGGTGGCTCACTGCTGAATGAAATTCGTGCCTTGAAATTTGAGTTTTAGGTTTTGGTGTTTGTTGTTGTTATTTGGGGGCGTTTAGTCTACAAAACACCAGAAACCGCAGCTTGGGCCCAGAATTCAGAACCAAGTTAGGTGTCTTTTCTGCCTGGGATGCCAACGCGCTCAGGATAGCGGGTAGAATAAGCCATGGCCGACTTGAAGACAGCAACCCCTACATCCCCTTTGTAGGGGGATTTAGCGCCCGGCTTCGTATAGGACTTGCTGCCCTAAACCGTCTCCCTGCGAGGCGGGGAGGGGGGAGTACTCCCCTCCGAAAGAGACGGTACAGAGAAGCGCTGACTGCAGCAGAACTGCCACCAACTCATACTTAAAAACCCCATTTCCTCCTGTCCACGGTCGTGCGCGTGCTAGCCTTCCCTTCCCCCCCCCCTCCCCCTCCTCTCTCCTCACAGAAGAGCGGGAAAAAGGCGGTCGGCCGCTATGGGGGAAGGTGAAGGGCGTGAGGGAAAGGACGAGCTAGGGCATGCCCACCGCGCGGTGGAGGTGGGACCTGCCCCTGTCCCTTGAGGGAGGAGGGACCCGGCTGCCTGGCGTGCCCTACCCTGCGTCCACCCCGTTGACGGCTAGAGGCTGAGCCTTCGGGGGCGGCCATTTCCCGGTCCCGTCAGGGGGCTGCGGACAGCTTGAGCCTGCCCGTGTTGGCATGGTCTAAATCCAGAAATGGTAGCGAGCGGATCTTGGCCTGAGTGTTTCTAATGCCGGCATCGCAGTTTGTACAGGGTAGAGGTGGTGACGGGGGGGGAAATGGATAGGGTTTGGTTTCAAGGTGCTGCCCTACACCTAATTCGCTAACAGTGACACGCACCTAAAACGACATAACTACTGCTCTTCTAGTGCTCTATGTCAGATTTGATTGTTTTTTTCATCTCACGGCTAAGCAGCAAAATCCTGGTCTAAATCTGAGTTGTTAACGTGTTTACAAGTTACAAAGGTGGTTTTCTTACGGTGTAAGGAGCTGTTTGTTTTCTCGCTGTGGCTGTATTTTTTGAAAGCTAGACTCAGGACCCCAGCAACCTCTTCTAACTTTATACTTTTAAGTTTCGCTATTTCAGTTTAATTGGGTTATTCCTAAGTATTATGCCTATATGTTGTTTCGTTTAAGGCTGTTTCATTCGTTTCTAGATCTAAAAGCTACTCCGAAGAACATTGAACTAGAAAAGTTAGTTATCTTCAAAGAAAAAAACAGATACGAACCAGCTGAGAGTCTGTCTGTGACTATGGAGAATCAGATATTGCTTGACATAAGATCAGTTATAGATGGTGGACTTGTAACTGAAATATTTAGCCAAAATAGTCCAATTAGTTCTGAAAACTTTAATTTGGAAACTGCATTAATTAATAATCCCATTGAAGAGGGATTGTCGTCCAGTCAAGACAATCACTTATGCACCATAGCTGTGGGAGAGACTTTGTTAGATCACTTTAAGTATCCTCTTACCTTTGAAAATCAAAATACACTAGCAAAAGTTGAAATATATCCACATGGAAACAGCAGCTGTGACAATGAAGATCTTGAAAAATACAAGGAATTAAATTTTCTGGAAGAAGCTGAACATTTGCATTCACCTTATCTGCCTTCAAATGGTGTCCATTTTCTTTCTTCTGTGGTGATGCAACATAAAAATTGCAATGATCCATCTTCAAGCATTTCCTCTCTAGAAGGAGCAGTCAGTCAAAATGTCAGAATGATACCAGTAAGAGTAAACAAAATAGGATTTTCTAATGTAGCTATGTTTATTCATGATTTAAATGTGGGGAATTAGTACGTTAAAAATTTGTATGGGATCCATACCATGTTTAAAGTTATGTCATAAATTTTATACTAGAACAAATTTAGTAGTAAATATAGAAATAGATTTTTCTGTTATATTGCTAAAAATAGCATGCAGTGAATATATGGTTCTGGCTGCTTTTTTTTTGTCCATTTTTTGAGACATATTTTAAAATGACTGGGTTATTATTTGGTTATTAAAAAATCTTACGGTGTCTCAAATATACTCACTTCAGTTTTGTATGTTATTATCTACATCAGCAACTATTAGGTATTTGTACAAAGTACAAATAGGGTATTACCTTTTGTTCTTATGTACCACGGGTGACACTGTCGTCTTAAAATTTAGATTCCAAATGAGTAAAAAAAGTAGTTGATTTGCAATAGTAAACCGTGGCCTCTATTGTTAAATCTCCATGAGCAAAGTAGTTTTGTAAGAGAGGTTTTCTGTTGCTTATCAGATTTGAAAGTTTTTTTCGGACTATTTGAAAGTTATAGTTTCTGTGTTGGTTAAATTACTATCTAGAAAGGTATGTAGCATAAAACATTTGTGAACTGCACAGGACTAAATCCATCATCAGCGCTTAATGCAGGCTATTCATATTTAGGATATTTCTGTGTGCTTGCTTTTTTTTTCCTTTTAGCGGCAGAGTGTCTGAAGAAATCCCCAAGTTTTGCTTTTGTACTGTGGCTGCTTCTAGGGGGCACCTGTCCTCTGAGAAGCTATCTTGAAATGATTGAACTCCCACTTCACATTATTTCCATGTAGTTTGACAAACTTTGCTGTTCAGAGTCAAAAATCAAAAGCACTAAAAAAAACCCCCAAACTGTCAGAAAGGACTGGGCTGGGAACGGGCTCTGAGGTTGCCCTGCGGCCCCCCAGGAGCCTATGGTGACCCCAGCGGAAGCCAGGCAGCAGCTGCGGGGCTGGCAGCGCAGGAAACCTCCCATCGAAGAAATGAAAAAAATAAAAACCTCGGCGCCACCAAACCCACTGGATTTCCCAGTGCCACTTCATCTCGAGGTACTTGAAGTCCACCGTGACAGTTATCTTATGTGATTTAGCTTCCTTTCTGATTTGAGATGACAGTTTTGGTTTAAAAGCATCTCTGCTTCAGAAGGTTGTTTACACACATGTCCAATATAATCAGTCCTTTAATAATCTAGATCTCCAATCTTTTGAACCATTAATGAGATTCGAAAGGCTGGTGGAAACCTCTAGAAAATAAAGATGTGATTAAGGCATAGCAGTTGATTTCTTCAAAGTCAAGCTGAAGATAATGAGAATTTGTTAGGCTCCACTATTCTGTACAAGGGACTAAAAATGAGACTTGGAAAAAATCTTTCTGACCAGTTGTCTTCCTAGCGTCCTTGCAGTCTGTCACATTGAATCTACGTGTTTCCTGAGTCTGCCCTGTTTCCTGAAGGTCTTAGAACAAAATTACAGTAAGGTTATGGATACTTTTCCTGAAATAAAGAAAGCTAATTGGCTGTTTATATGCTGCTTGCTTACCCTCCTAAACTGCTATCTATATTAAGAAGAGGAAGCAGAGCACATACAGATAGAGAGCAAATTGTCTAGTTCGAATAACCTCAATTGTAATTTAACACTACAAAATTGTTAGTTTGTTTTTGTTCCATTTTCTTTTCACGGCTTTTGTATTTGAAAGTACAAACGTAGATTTTAAGTACAGTGCTATTATAAATGTATTAGAGCCAAACCATAACTATAAGGTGAACAGAACAGTCATATCCAGCAGTATCAGCTAGTGTTGGATAGGCTGCAACATGTACATGCCTAATTACACCCTGAAAATATAAGTAACTTCCAGTTTTCAAAGTCACTGTAAGTCATTTTTTTGTTTGTTTGTTTGGCTTTATAAAAATGAAACACTTATTGCATAGAAGAGTTAAAAATAAAACATTCTTTTTTCAGGTGTTCAGATCATTAATTCCTCCAGTTGCAGGTGAGAATAACTGTATTTGTTATGATCAATTCAAAGAAATCCATAGCAGTTCTGTGCAGTCACAACACTTGCCAGATTGCTTAAATGGTAAGTGCCCAGAGTGGGTGAGTGGGATTTGGGGGAGGAGGGGGGGGGAAGGGGGCGCTCCTCTTATAAGCTTAAAGAAAGATATAAATAGATCCATACAGTAATTTCTGGAGATACGAAATTGCAGCATAAGCCTTTACTTATCTGGTATGTTAGTATAGCTAAGAGGATTTGGAAGTAGGTCATTGCTTGGTTGTATGTGTTTATGTTGCTTCAGCCAGTCTCACTTTTGATTTTTCCCCTCCTCCCATACCTCTTTCCCGTTCCTTCGTGGACTCTGAAGCAAGTATTCCTCCCTGCAGTGCAATTTTTCTTTTGAATTGAGAGGAACAAAGTTTTTATTTCATTTTGAGGACTGACCACAGATGATGAAATTTAGACAGATTGCCCCCATGCTGCTGCTGATGTTAAGTTCTTGAGTAGTTGTTAGCTGCGTTCTGCTTGTAACTTTTTCACAACCCTGCTCAGGGTTAAACCGACTTCCAGATTTGGTCTTGCAAGGGGGTTTGTCCTGAAGTCTGACTGCAGCAAGAACAGTGAAGAGAGTTGCCTTCTTTTGTAATGTGGAATGCAATCTCTTAAGTCACCTGGGAGTTTTTTTTAATAAGTTTTCTGCTATTTAGAAGGGTGATGCTTCAAATCTGTTCTTTCTGTGCCATGCTGTTATTGTAGAATTTGCCTTTTACTGCAGGGAAAGGTCTACAGGTCTGAAATTTACAGTATGCTATTGTAAGGTGTGATGTGGCCCATGGTGTGTGCACGTTTTTAAACTAGGTAACTGTTGCATAGCTGTTCACAACTGTAGCTGTCTGAATTTAATGGCCTATGTGGTCTTCCCATACCTTCATACCTGCTACTGATTTTGTAATTTGTGTGTTTGTATGTATGCTCATGAGTCTTCTAATTACTATTTTAAGTTTTCTCTTTGGTACGCACTTTTTAAAAAATTGTAGAAACGTTTTGACATTAGAGACAAACATACTCTTTTTATCTACTGAGCAGTTATTGCTAGACAAGTAGTTCAAGCTTGATGTGCACCCATTCCACTCTCTGCCTGAGCTTTAATCTAGAAAGAGCTAGTTTAGCTGAGGAGAGCATTTTTTTAGTCCTGGGATATTTTAAACCTTGTTGAGTCTACTGAGTTTGCTAGCATGAGGTAACACTTGTAATTGAGGATCTGTAATTTGAACATTATTACATTGGAAAAGCAACTACTACCATAAACTCATTTGGTAAGAGTTACTGAACAGCTATTAAATGGAAGTTACTTTCAGTCACTGTTCATCAGTCCAGATTTTGAAACACATCCTGTAAATATGTAAAGATGCAGCATGCTTTTTACCAGTAAGCCTTTAAACTGTTCTGCTCTTCTGATTTCTGGTTTCATGTTAAATTTGATCGTGCTATTAAAACAGGCTTTATAGAGTTCAATGTTATCAAAGTATGTTTTCCATCAGATTTTGAGCAAGAGCTTCAGTTTTTTGGAAGGAGTAATAACAAAAAGTATACACTGAAAGTGCTGCTAGGTAGAGGGTGAAAGGGAGAGATTATGGATTTGCTGCTTGGAGGTATCACCTTTGTCCTACATATCTGTTATGCTGAGCTCAGATCCATTAGAAAGCACAAGAGGTTTAGTGCATTTTGCATTTAAAGACACTAACTTCATAGGCTACTTATCTGGAACAGTGGGGTATAAAGTTTGAATAGATCACCTTTTTCTTTTTTTCAATCTGTGAGCTTTTTTTTTTTCCTCCAGGCTTTTGGCAGTGATCAGTTTGTGCCTGGCTCTCCTACAGGTACAGGGAAAATCCCAAAGAAGCCTTCATCTATTATTCCTGGCCTTTATTCAAGTGCAAATTTGCCCTCACAGTGTGTAAAGAATGTCTCTTGCTTACTAGAAACCTCAGAATGAGTTGGGAAGGGAGAAAGATGTGGCTGCATACGCAAGCAAAGCTCAATCTACGTGTGTAGTGGAATCATTCTTCAGTTTCTTGAGCAACCCTGCTGATCTGGAGCTTATGGAAGGAATTGTATCCCTCTAAAGAATGATGCCTCTGAGCTCCCTTTTTGGGTACCAGCATTGTGTGTGAGCCAGGGTCAAATAGATAGTGTCTACTATCAGGTAGATGCCATCGCATCAAGCAAATGTTTGCCAGTTTCTCTTCCTGGTGTATATCTTTTTTAATACATTAAATTTCCCAGACATCCTTTGCGTGATAGCAATATACAGTCTTTACAACTGTATATATTCATCAGCCTTGCTATCATAACCTCTTTGCTAACTGAATTTTAGCAGAAAGGCACAATAAACCTTTTGAGAACATCAGACAGACCCGCGCTGAAGTCTCTTTTTCCCAGCAGTCCTGAAATGAAGTCTCTTATAACTAAGAGAATATTCAGTATTTCTTTCATAAGAATGCAATGCTATATAGTGGCATTGAAACCGCTTTTCCTCTTATTATCAAGGGGCTCCTAGAATACAACACTGACCTCTTAGTAAATAAAGTGTTCTTTATTTTATTTACTAGAATCTTCCAGTGGTGTCTGTGGCATACCTCAGACTAGTGAGTCTATCTACGATGAAATTGTAAGTATGCATGTAAGATTTTATTATTATCATTGGAAGGATGTGTTTGTTTGTGTTTTATTTGAAAGTCTTGAATGTCTAAAACAGAATTTGTTCTAAGTGCCAGCAAGTAAAACGTTCTTTCACACACTGATCTGTTTGAAAATCTAATCTGCTCACAAAAGAGAGGGAAAAAGAAATGCTACTCCATAGACTTGGTACACTGTTACATGGTAGAGGATGGGAGATTTTTCGGCTGTTTCTATTCCTATTGGCTCAAGTCTAGTCTGCTCCTCTCTGCCAATTTCGTGTTCTGGTCTAGTTCAGACCAATTAAGGATGAGGCAGCTCCAAGATGGTTTAAGGCCACCTGAAGGCACTCACTCTTCTGGAACTTTGCCAAATACCCTTGGGCAGCTGATTAGTATCTGGGCCTCTATAATGTGCAATATACATAAAGGAACAGAGCGGAGCATGAAAATCCAATTGTAACATTAGCATTCCCTGCCTGCTTAGAGACTTTCCTTGCAACTTTAATATTCTCTGAAAAGGCTTGAATTTTTAAATATAACTTCCTAGATTTGTGAAAAACAAACTATAGAAATTCAGGTATTTCATGTCAGGGAAATTTTTCAAATTAGTGAGATACTGTAGCCAAGTTTTTCAAGGCCATCCATTCAGTGTTTTAATATGTGCAATGAAGGGTGCAAGGCTCCATGTGGAAGTGTGACACTTATGCAGAGGGCGCTATAATAAATTAATGGATCAGCAAGATGGATAGTTTTCAACAAGTGCCGTCTGAGCTGGAAGAGTGCAGTGACACTCTGTATTTGACCACCATGACAAAAGTTCATTTAGGAACAAGCTGTTACAGGTGTAAGAGAATTTGCAGTCCAGTCTCAAATAACTACTACTTTTTTAGACTACATGCCATTGATCCACAGTCAAGTTATGTAATTCAGGATTAATGCATATGTTTTATGTAATTTCCCAGGACTGTTGCCTAACTTCCCCGAGGCAGTATAGAAATCGGTTGATATTTCGTTGATGTTTGAGGGGATGAATGTCATTGTTACTATGAAGTATGTTACTGTTCACTGTTATTCTTCAGGGTTATTTTTACTTGAAATATAAGCAAAAAACGTTCTATCTGAGCACTGACAAATGAACTAACGATTCTCAATGTTACATTTGAAAACAATCTTTGCTTTAATATGCATGATTTATGTAGTTAAACTCTATGTTTATTATACTTGCATTGGAATTTAAAGTAGCTTTCAAAGTACACTTTTTAATATGTAAAACTATTTTTTTTTCAGGCTGAAGTAAGAGAGGCAGTTAGTAATGTTATGGAGAATGACCAAGATGAAGCCATTTTTCAGAGTTCAAATGTAGGCAAATCTGGCTCCAAGTTATTAGCGTTGCACAGTTTAATGGAGGAACCCAGCTGTTCACACAGAAATGATTCCAATCCTGTGGTAATTAGATCCTAAAACTGATAGCAGAATTATATGCTAAAGAAAGTTATTAATTTATTTGTAACACACTAGCAGCAAAAACTCCCACTGACTAGGTGCTGTACCAAGAATGATAAAGCAGTCCATTTGTCAGACTCAGTCTAAATTGTATCTAGTGATAGTGATATTTTGTTCACAACGTATATTATTTTCTATTTAACAGCTAGAAGCAAATACAGTAGTATGAAGATTACTTCATCCAAAGGGAAAATCTTGATTTGCAGTCATAAATAAATGAAATGAAGCATGAACAATTACAGTGGCATGTTCTGGTCAGGGAACTGAATCATAAGCCAGCATGCTACAAAACTAACTAGAATATGTTCTGCAAAACCCCATAGAGCAGTCTAGAGAACCAGGAATCCATCTCACCTTGGCTGAGGAGCGACAGTGTTATTGCTCAATAGCTACTTCCAAAAATAAATAGAAAATAAGGGTCAAAAAGCAAACATCTTAATGCATAATGATCCGTTTGTCTTAGACAGAGACTCCAGTCTGTGATTATGCCGCTTTATGAGACAGACGGTACTCTTACGAAAATCTTTGTATCTACATGCTTAGAATTACTGTTTCATAGATGAAAGCTAATCATTAGTTATTTATTCCAGGTGATATGCCAGTTGGACGGAGGTACTCAGATACTCTGTATAAACAGTTCTGGCACAAGAGAGCTGAAAAGAGTTCATCTTATTCCCCAGTATCAAGACCGACATAATTATCTTCAATCAGGTACAATGAAAATGAAAATTATCTCTAGCGTGTCAGATAGTATATCATAGATTGTTAATGTGCCATTGTGTGCGTTTATGTTCCTAAGCAACATCAGTCTGAGATGAGCCAAAGCTAGTGCCGCTGTCACCGCTTATTATTTTACTTTATAGTACCTGCAAAAGTGCTAGGCACTTCAATGAAATAAAAAGAATGATGTAATAGATATGTTTGAATTTAATACAAGCTGTTAATATACAGACTGATTTCCGTATGAAGCATGTTTAGCATATGCAGCTGACACGTCTGCATTTACCCCAAGTTACCACCATATGTCACTGTTTCTCTATAAATGAAGAGCAGCTTTGAGGACTATGGGTGTACTTTAGCCTTGGGATTCTCAATATGCAGAGTATATGTCACTGATTTTTGCGTCATTATGTGAACTTGAAATTCCATCAATTTTTAAAGAAAGTGTTTTCTGAAGTCCTCAAGTTGTTTTACCTATTTAGATGTTTAGTGGAGTAATACTTTTGCATCTGGAGAGTACTCAAGTTAAAACTGACCTACACTTATATACTGAAGTATTTCTTTTCCTAAACATAGCTTCCTCAGAAACATTATTAACATTGTTTATTTCATTATTTGTTTTTATTACTATATTTTTATTATAATGGTGCATATGGATGGCATTGTGAAAACAAGGCCCTTTACTATTAGGTACCATACAAGCACTGACTGCATCTCTGAATAGACACTCCAAATATGGAGTCTGTTTCTTAGGAAATAAGTACAGTTGTAAGATTTATCTTGTTATCTCATTAAGCCTAATGTTTGTTTATTTTCTGCACAGGCCGGGATGCTTATATAATTAAAAGCACTGCTTCACCAGGACTTATACAAAGACTCGCTGTTATGGCTATGGCTTTCTCCATGGGTTTTTAGTAATTTTTTTTCATCAGCTCAGTATCTCCGCTCTAGATGCTCTCTCGGAACCTTGGAAAGTCATTAAATAAGAATTCAGGATAAACATATTTAAATATTTCTGCCATTTCCTTATTTCATCAAAATAATTTAGGACTATGGCATTTGAATTTAGATGTACTTGATGTCACAGAGTAAAAACATCCTGTGCTCAAATTGCTAGCTGACAAATTGTCGGTGGGTTTTTCTGACAGAGTTATTTGTGTGTGGCGAGGTTTTTATTTTTGTTTTTTGCAATAGGAAAAACATTGCTTGAGAGAGAAATTCTAGGTCCTTCATTGACAATCTTTATTGTAGGAAGAGCATAAGTTTGTTTTCTAAACTAAATTGCACCAAAAAGTGCCCACAGAAGACAAACAGCCTCAGGAAATGCTTGCTTTTTAATAAAAGAAGTTGAAGCTTCCCATTTGTCTGTATGCTACATTCAAAAACTATTATGCATAGGTGAAACTTCATATACTGTGAGTAATTCTGCTGTCTTGAAATAAATACCTTCTTTTCAGACGTGGGCAACCCTGTAGCAACTGTACTTGGGCAGTTTTTGCCAGTTCCAGGTAAACTGGATTTGAATGAAAAACAGGTAAAGAAACGTTTTTCTTTAAATTGGTTAAGCACAATATAAACTCATTTTCATTTTCTTAAAATGGGTGGTTAATTCTGTGTAGGGAAGTAACAATTACGGGTATTCTCTAAAGAGTGCTTACTTAGCGTATATACTTCTAACTCTACATCCAATATACTTTGTGTATATAAAGGCTTCTGATTTCAGGGTTTTTCTGGAAATAATACCGGCATTAAAATCACAGATTTCCATGAGAAATAAATTCGTTACACTTTTGAGACCTTGAATCTCAAAAGTGCTTACTTAGCGTATATACTTCTAACTCTACATCCAATATACTTTGTGTATATAAAGGCTTCTGATTTCAGCGTTTTCTGGAAATAATACCGGCATTAAAATCACAGATTTCCATGAGAAATAAATTCGTTACACTTTTGAGACCTTGAATTCAGTATTTACATAGAATATTATTTTTGGAACCATTCTAAGGCTTTTTTGGAGGGGAAAGGAAAGCGCATTGATTTTTACCAGAAGAGGAGGAATATTTTCTTCCGGTAGGATTTCTTATGCTGTCCTCTCTTGATTAAGGTTTAATGGTCATTGTTTTTACAATTTTTTTCAATTATTTTATTGCCAATGGAGTACGTAATAGAACAGTATAACAATTTATTTTAAATAATGAAAGATGAACTAATATGATACTAAGATGAACTAATAATGAAAGATGAAGTAATGAAAGAAGTCTAATAAACTTTTGAGCTGTTTGATTTTTAGTGTGCAGTCACTACTTCCAGCAGAGCTGTTAGTGTTAGTAATAATCACTGCAAATTTTTACCTGATAAGTTTTGATTTGTGTGAAATGAATATGTGATGTCAGTACTAACGTAGCAGATGGTTCATGGATAGTGGCCGCTTTCATAAAAGAGAGGAGAAAACCGCCCAGGGCTGGATGGATCAATGAACTATAGTCTTTCATCACTAAAGGTGGCATAGCTGCAAATTGGTGACTATCCGTTCGGGAGCAAGGATATAGACAGCTTGCAATCCTTCTCTAATTTTATCCCCGTTCTATTCTTCCCTAGATTCCTTCTCTTGCTTTAAATATAATCATTTTCCTCCTCTTGATTGTTAGCTGGATTCATCACCAATTCAAATAAGTATGATTTATACAATGATTCACTGCCCCCTCATTTTACCTATAAGCGCAACGTAATCTTTTCCTTTCTTCCCTCATGTCTCTCCACAGTAAGGCCATTATTAATCATAAGTCTGTCAAAGAGACCAACAGATCTACGATCTGTTCTGTTGGCTTGTGAGACGGTTCTTTTTTAAAGTTTTGCTTTGTCTTCAGCCTCTTACGTGTCATATTGCAGCTGAATGTAATATAAATCATGAAATCACATCAAATCGAGTCAATTTCAGTTAACTACTGGAATTAAAAGTAACTGAACCTAGAATTATGAGTACATTGGAAAGTGTGCCACTGCTGTGCCAGCACTGAGAGCTGTTCTTGGTTCTTTGCACTGGGAGAAGCAGGGATTCCGACATACTGAGCGGTTTCAAAGAGAAATGCGTAGAGTTTGCATGGCTCTGTGCCTTCATGAGTTTTGTCAGTATCCTTGGCAATCAAATTATTGCTGGAGCATTTTCATGGTATTGCTTTTTCTCTGCTGACTTACAGGAGTCTTTTTTTAAAACTTAAAGTAAAAAGGTTATATGCATTTTATCTTGAACAGTTTGAAAATGGATCCTTACAATCAGTAGCTAGCGCTGCCACATACCATTCAGAATCAAATCTGCAAGGACCAATGAAAATGACTTCAGTTGGGTAAGAAGCATGAAACTTTTAGTCCACAATTACTTTTGAATTTTAAACTGGCAATGACTTCTAGACATGTTTATATTACATAGCTTTTTCGCTTTTCTAACAAACATGTAGTTCTATAAGAATGCTTTGTGTATCTGTATCAGTAGTCATGATGGCAGTTGCTGACAGTTAAGACTATGTCACATGCTTCAGTGTTTCTTAGGATCAATGCAATTGTGCTCTCCATATGGCTGAAAATCATTCAGTTTTCTAAGTTAATTGGTATGTTTCCAAATCTAACTACCATGTGTTTAGCCTGTATTTCTAATACTACTGGAACTCTTTCAGTAGTGTTTAATTGCAGGTCATTTTTAAATATGAGGAAGATGCAACCGCAATGTGAAAGGGGGGAGAGCTTGGCAGTTGCACAGCCATTGCTTGGTTTTATGATTGGGAACTGACTGCCGCAGGAGGTGACAGTTGGTGGACAGAGAGATATTGCGGGTTACTTAATCTTCTCTTTTCCTTACCCCGACCCTGGGAGTCCACACTTGTTATATACTGCTGATATTGGTGTAAAAGAAACCAGTATTTATTTTTTTCAAAAGTATAAAATAATAATTAATTTCCCTACTGGTTGTAAATTTTTTTCTAATTTTTTCTTTTTTTCAAACTATCTAGCTTACCTTTTGGCTCAGGAGATACAAAGTCTAAAAAACCTTGTAACTGCACTAAATCTCTGTGTCTGAAATTGTAAGTAAGAGTTTATCAGCATTTGATAAATGCAGTGTATAGATGACAGGACAATCATACAATAAATGTATGTTGTAAAATGAAGACTACATATGTGTCCAAAGTTACTTTTCTAATACTGAGCTAGAGATCTACAGTTGATAAAAACTAGTGTCACACCTGCTCAGAAATTAGTGCAGAGATGTAGATGAGTGCATATAGTCTAAGGTATGTAAAATAAAAAGTGAAGCTAAGCAGTATAGCTCAGAGTACATGTGGAGAAAACATATAATGTAAATGCTATATACAGAAATATCACTTCTTTGCCTCGCTGCTCCTCTCACACATTAATAATATACATACAGAGATGTGCACATGATGATTAAAATTTTAGTAATTGATGATGTGGTAAAAGTGAAAGAGAAGTCTGTGTATAGATGTAACCAAATGACAGAGGAAGGAACATTTTTCATGTGTAGAAACCAGAAATGCTGCCTTGAAGTAGAATAAAATTTAATCCCAGTTAATCTTTTCATTTCTTATGTTATTTTGTATGTTCATCACAGATACTGTGACTGTTTTGCTAATGGTGATTTTTGCAACAACTGCAACTGCAATAATTGTTACAACAATTTACTTCATGAACCTGAGCGATTTAAAGCCATTAAGGTAATAAAAGCATAGTACACGTTGATATTCGCTTCATGTATGAAAAATACAGCAATACTCTTTTTTGCATTACAGTGTCTGAAATATGTTATTTTTAACCTAAATGAAGTAAAGCCAGGTGTTGCCTCTATATTATTCTTACAAAGAACAAATTTAGGGATTTTTTTCTTTCCCTTTATGGAACTTCTGCTACTTTGGATTAAAACTAGTGGTATGTTAACTGAATGGTAAGTTTTATTCTTCAAAGGAAGTGTGCAACCCCAGATTTAATTTCAGAAAATGTTTCCACTTGAAGGAAAATACATTGTGCCCTAAAATCAGACAGTAATTAAAGGGAACCAAATTATTATTATCCAAGTTATTATTCTCCCTGGACAGCTCTTCTGCAGTTATCTGTGTTGCTCTTTTCGGTTGACCCGTGCAGCAATCCAAAGGGAGTTACCATCGCAGCAACACTGAACCCTGCTCTGCTGAGAAACAGGTCCCTTCTACACTTGGAGACTGATTTATAGTAGTATAAAGAATAATATGTGGGTAATTGCTGTGTGTATATGTAAAACTGGGCAATAATTTAATCTATTAGATATATCTTACCTTATGTCGTAAGTTTTAAAGTGAAAATAAAAATACTCTTCTACTGCTTGTACTCTACAATAAGGTACCCGCTTTGGACTCCTTGTATGCGACTTCCTAGAACTCTTTTGTATCATTCACATTATCTCTGGATTGGAGAAGAAGTTGATCTAATTAGATTTAGAACTTTGCCACATCTAACCATTCAAAGCCAAAGAAGTTCTTGGTATCAACCTCCAACAACTGTTTTTCAAATCAGATGCTCCAGAGTAGTTGAGCTGATGGGGTTGATGTGGTCTAAGCGCACTCTTCACTACGCAGAGGACATCCTTTAGAGTAAAACAGATCTTGTTTCTCCCTGCAAAGAACATACTGGTTTCTCTGCCATCCATAAATATTGTACGTAGAGGACATATGGTTTTTTCAGTCTGCGTTTTAGCAAATCTTGGCATCATGATGTCTCAGGGCCTAATTAAAATCTACTGTTCCAGTGGAATATCTAATGCTGATTTCAGTAAATGGGCTTTGTATTGGGCCATTAATAAAACAAGATAGGGTTAAACCTCCTGAGATGTGCGTACCAATGTATTCAAGGGTGATTTTTTTTTTTTTTGGAGAACTTTTTATTTCTGGTGAGAGTGGCTTCAGCAGTGAGAGAAAAGCAGTCCTGAGAAAGCTGTAGATGAGGTCATTTTGGATGTTTCGTAAAAACAATGTAAGTTGCTTCCCAGTTCAGTGTTTGAGAATTCGTGCTCCCACATGCCCTGGAAGACACCTATTTCCATGTACTTCATACCACCAAGGATGAGAGTGGCAAAAGGAATTTGTTTGTTAAACATTGGATAGCAGTCGTTCAGGTGCTTAAAAACATGTCTTTCACTTTCTCTTAGTCTAATACTTTCTGTTTTAGGCCTGTCTTGATAGAAACCCAGAAGCTTTTCTGCCAAAGATTGGGAAAAGGACGCTGGGAGAAATTAAACCTCGTCATAACAAAGGATGTAATTGCAAGCGCTCAGGATGCCTTAAGAATTACTGTGAGTGCTTTGAGGTCAGTCAGGTGAATTTTGCTATCATTAGCCATGATCTTAACATGGATGGCGTTCTGCAACTATTAGTCACTAAAAATAATTACCTCTCTTTTTTCTTTGTATTGTTCACCATAAAACTTGCTGAACATAGGGAGCAGAGTCTCTTTCCTGATATGATTTTAACTCCAAGAACTGGCTGCAGTTGATCAGCTAAAATTTTCAGTATCAGGTTCTAGGAATTCTCAGCCAGTTCCTTCCTCCAGAAAAAATGAGGAATGGTTTTCTGCCAATCCTGGTAGTTTCTTTGCATCTGAGGTATTTTGTTACCTTGCAAAGAAACCTGCAAATTAAGGGGAGGAGTGATTTGCCCGTATACAGGACAAGGGAGAAACATTCAACTCCCCAGAGAATCCTTGGAGAAAACTAACTCACTTCCTCACTGTGTTGATGTTGATGGTCTCACTCCGCAAGTTTCCAAGACCAGCACATCTAGAATACGTCCCTGAGGGTATAGCTCCAATGGATACTCATATGTATGTTTAATTTAAGATTTATACATTTTTTATTCTAAGTATTCTATATTTGCCAGGCTAAAATTATGTGTTCCTCTATTTGCAAATGCATTGGTTGCAAAAATTATGAAGAAAGTCCAGATCAAAAAAACCAGTTGAATGTGCCAAACTACATGGACCTCGGAAATAATGAAGTAAATAGCCCAGTTTTTACATCAGCATTTGAAATGTTACCAAAATCGAAGACGGACAGGTGAATATTTGGAAATGACAACGCATAACGCATCGGTCTATCTGACTTCAGTGGTTTTATTATGTAACCATTATCATATTTATCTAAGAAATAGCGATGAAAATGACAGGGAGCTTCTATAACAGATTTTCACTTCACATAATTTTTTATTTGTAGAAACAAGAGGGTACAGAACTATCTTAAGGGAAACTCTTTAGGAATATGGTATGCACAGTTCAGGGACCTATATATTAGTTCTGCTTTCAAAACAGCAGTTACCAGTTTATCACATATTTCACTCTCTCTCTCCTTTTTCTACCATATATTTTTCCTTCAATTTCTCCTTTCTTTCATTTTTCTGTGTTTAGGTATGAATTTGTAAAAAAAACCTTGCCCAAAGATATAGTTGGAAAATGATATTATTAATATAAAGTTTGAGTTGTTCAGTTAATTAGTGTGTTTACATCCCTCCTTCTCTCACCTTGTCTCCTTTTCCTTTAGTCCATCTTCTCTCAATTTTACCTGTATTGGCAATTATGGATTGTAAAATCTTTGGAGAAGGCTGCACTATCCTGGTGCTATTACACTTTCTAATACAGCTTGTAGCCCAGTCTCAATTTTTGGTTGGTATAGTCAATAGTTTAATAAATAAACGATCTGTTAATTCAAATTAATTAAAGCATCTCTGAATTGATTTCAGTGAACTTTACTCCAGGCTTTAACATTTTCAGCCTGCATACAGCATATTCATTTCATCAACCGTTACCGAGAAATGATTGTGTAAAGTCCAATTTTAAAATACTTTCTGATGATATATTTTGAAAATAGTTGAATATTTTCTGCTGCTGGTAATTTATTGATTAGGTGGATGGTGCCAAGTTATGCCCTTACTTGCTTGAATTGTGTAGCGGAATGAGTAGCATGATGTTAACCACTGGTAGTTTCAAGAGTTTATTCAAAGCAAGGCTACTTAGATGCCATTTTGGGACTCCTTGAGGGCCTAGGTGCTGTTTCTTTTATCAGCAGTAGATGAATTTACAGTTAGTACCTGCTAGGCACTGACTAAGCCTTTTTAACACATTTCCTTGCATGTGAGATGGAATCTGACTATTGCTTACGGAAGGAAGAGGCTTATTGCATCACCTTTCCATGTCTGTACCTATTGGGCAGCGCATGTGCATAGATTCATTCTGTAGTGTGAACACAATCTTCCACATGATTAATTAGAAAAATGCACGCAGTCTTCTGGCAGCAAAAATTATTCAGTTTAGAACAATGAGATTCCTACAGTTCCTGCAGGGATGTATCTTGCAGTAACAGTGCAGCTACTCTGATTCAGCTCTTTGCATTCTAATTTTTAGTTAAGAGTTTTAAATACAAACAGTAATTTGTGTTTTAAATTACTTTGTGTATTTAAAATTGAGATATTTTATACTAGTTTCTTCTTCCCTGTCAGGCAACCAGCTGTATGTATATCTTGGGAAGAAGTGAAAGCAACATGTGCTTGTCTCCTGGTGCAGGCTGAAGAGGCAGAAAAAGGAGGTTACTCTGTTTGTCTAGCTGAACGAATGATCGTGGAGGAATTTGGGAGATGTTTATCCCAGATACTACATGCATAACTTAAATCTAAAGGACTGAAAGTTGAATAATGTTCAATGTATTATAAAACTAATGGGTATTAATTTTGATATGTTCCCACAGTCTCCATAATTTTGCCACTTGATTGTCTTACTTTGATCTTTCATAGGAGTAATTTCATTGACTTCAGCTGAGTTGTTTCTGAATTATGCTGGGGTAAGTGAGATCAGAATCATACCCAGCATTTTTCAGGGTAACGCTATTAGACTAAGCTTACTATATATTTTCTACTGAAACAGGTTTTATCTATAGTTAGGGTATTCTGGGCCAATTCTTCAGTCTTTACCTAGACTCTTATTAACAGTAAATTTAACTTATAATGGCTTTATTGGATGTTTATGTGAGCAGAATTGTAGTGAAAACTGAGTAAGGACCTTAGAGTTTTGTGTCTTATTTTGGTTATTAGGTGAATTGTGGAAAAAAATTCCGTTTCCAGTGGTAGTAGGTAAATCTACTAAGTTGAGCTTTGGGCCTTCCAATATTTGGCAGTTTGTTTCTCCTGTCTGCAGATTTACTTTATTTGGAAATTAGACTTAACACAGTTTGGTATATAACGTTGAAAAAGATATTACAAAAATAATACTGATAGCCTTCTCACAAATCCCCTCCCGTAACAGTGTAAACACTGAATTTGTTAGACAGGTGATCCTCATAAAAACAGAAGGAAGCTGATCTCCTTTTTCCTCCTATTTTAAAGTGCCTGTTAAAGAATGTGACATAAAATTTTTTAGGCACATAGGATATAGGATCAGAATTTGCTGAATCCTACATTTGCAATCCAGTTTCCCTTAAAGCTCGGAATAGCTTTTGTTTAATTCTTTATTTTTCTTATGTGGGCATTTTCCCTGTGATTTTTTTTCATTCTCCCTGTTAGGATAATAGTTTTATTTTCTTTAGCTAGAGTAAGCTATTTGCTATTGTATTTTGGGAAAAAAAATAAATTTTTTTACTCAAAATGATTTGAGTGATTATAAACAAGCTAATGGTATCTGTTTTTGACGTTTTATGGTTTGTTTATAATATGGACTTAGATATTTTTAGCATTTATGCTTAAATGAATAAAGATCTTCTCCATGTCATGTTGATTCATGAAAAATTCTTGCCAGGACAGCAGGTTAGACTGCAAGCTGCTTTTAAAATTTGTGTAGTAATAAGTTGGGGGACAGAGGGGTTATGAGCTGTAACTGATATGTGGATAGATTGCATTTTATGTGTATGTTTTTAATGATTGCTACTGGGGATTGCTGAAGGTCATAAGAAAAAAATGGCTTCCTGAGGCACTTAAAAAGGGAGATGGCACCATCTGTAAGCTTCACAACTTTCTGACTGTTTCACTTCCTGAAAGCATTTCCCTTGCTTTTAGGATGAATACCTATGTAAAGGCATCATCTTAAAAGGTATTTGTCCCCAGAGAAAGTTACGGTGAGGTTCACGAGGGCTGTAGAGTCAGTAGCCACTCCATAAAGGAAGCAAAACACAAAGAAGAGAGGAAGAAACCCACCCGTATCATTAAACCATGCCTTGGTGAATTAATCTCAGAAATCAGCTCACTAGATTCATGCTCAGTAGAATGAGTCTAGTGGTCAGGTGAGGTGAGGTTCAGTAGGCTTAAAGGCAGTAAAAAAGAAACTAGGATTAGGACTCAAGACGTACATAGGGATTAAAAGTACAACTAGGAATAGAACTGCAAAATACAAGTAAAATGATTGGAAAGAATGGAAAAAGAAATAAATTATAAGATGAACTGTTGGAATCCTTGAAAAAATGAGAATACAGTCTCATCCTCAGATGCATCTCAGTTTGGATACAGGCATCAGGAGACACCACCACGAAGTAAAGTGGCAAATTATTAAACCCAAAAGAGAGACGAGTTCGAATGACAAGAAAGAGAAGAATAAGAAAAAAAATCATAAGATCGTGGCTATTCAAGAGGTTGGAAAATAATAAGAAAAAGACCATAAGGAAAAATTAAAATAAGTAATCCAGAGAATTAAAATATAAATAAAGTGGGAAAGAGAAGAAAATTCTACAGCTAAAATTAAAGAGTAGGAGTGAAGAGGAGGTAGGCAAATAGCATAATAAGGGAAATAAATGAGAAAAGACCTGAACTACAGCTTTGAGCAACACCTCTACACTCCCGTCTCTAATAAACTGCTGAGACATCCACCCAAGATGCCATTAAGAACCCTTGGGGGAGGGCTTCTGCATTTTCTGCATTTTTTTCTGCGTAAATTTGAAAACACCTTAAAGAACCAATGCTATAACAGTAAGGATCATGGTGGAAAAGTGACTGTATAAATGAGATGGACAGAAAAGGAAATCATTATAAATTTGAACTTCAACTAATATAAAAGACAAGGCACTAGAATGTGTAAGGGTTTATGTGATAGCAGCAAAAAACTATGAGGTATAAAAAGCTTAAATTCATTATCTTTTGATATTATAGAGAAGTAAAAACAGTTTGAATTAATTTATTTCATACTGCAGATGGTGTAAACTCAGTCTACAAAAACATTGCCGGGCTCTAGGGTGACTAGGAGTGAAATTATATTCTAAAAACAAAAAATAAATACAAAGCAATAGTTGATAGTATAGGATGGAATGGACAAGCCTAGCAGAAGCAATTTCTATTAAGTTAATGGACTAAAAAAGTCTGTCACTGAGGGCTTTATAGGCAATAAAGAAAGCTAAAACTGGCTTTGTGTTGTTAACACAACAGGTTACAAGTAAACCATTTTGCAGTCAGTGATGAAAATACTTAAGAACAACATGGACACGGCCACAGTCCTGAAACTGTCAGGTAGGAAAGATGTATCAGTTCTCATAACTACTTGTAACCCTTTTCTCCTAAAGAAAGGTTCGGTTTCATAACAAATACTGCAAGAGAAAAATTGTCTTGGGGAAAAGAGAGCCATGAAGCCAGTCCTGAGTAGGTCAAGTGGCTGAAAGTTGTACAGAAAAGATGCGAAAAAAAACCTTTAACTAATTAGAATGGGAGCATGTGTGCGCTCCATTAGGGAAAAATGTAGCTTTTCAAATGAATTCAGAATTTGCCTTTCTGCTTCATACAAGCATACTGGAAATTAGATATCAATGAATGGAACTTCTTCAAATGGCTTTCAGTTAACAAGAGAAACTAAGAGCTGCCTCATGTCGCTGCTGCTTCATCTAGCAAAAGAAATCCTGGCCCCAGCAGTTAAATAAATAAAAAGGAAAAGGCTAGCTCAGAGATGAAGCATGGATATAGCTCTCTTTACAACAGCTATTGTGCTGTTCTTGGTAAATGATCTTCTCTTTTTACAGTATTTCACAGATGTGTTCAATCTCTGAATATAAAATTATGACATATCAGGAATAATTAGGTATTCACATTTCTGTGAGGAAGGAGGAATTAAAAGTAACAAGCAAGCTCATGGGTTCATAACTCCATGGGCTACTTATTTTAACCTTGCAGATAAGGCACAAAGACCTTTTTGAATCTGGGAATGTGTCAGTCTGAAAATAATAAGAAATCTTGTATCTTAAAAATGGTTAGTTTTTTTGATGGGTACAAAAGTGAGCTTATTTAAAGCAAACATACTCATTGAACTTGTTTTTTTCTGTTTCAGCTTTTTTCCTATGGGTATATCAGACAGTACTGTAAAGGCTTGGTAAACTATTGTCAAGACCTTCAGCGTAGACACCAGGGATCGGCAAATCAAAATTATTTAGGCCTTCAACGATGAGAGGTCTCTCTTGACTCAAGATAGTGGCCTATAATCATGAAGTTCTGCTGAAAGATGTTGCAACGTGGTATGTGAAATCTTATTTAGAGATATGGATTGATACAGAATAAAAATTATGCGGGGAACTGAATTTCTCAGCTATATATTAGATGAGAGAGGCCAATCACAGTACAAACCACTCCTTGAGATCTCTACATAAAAATTAAAAGCTGCTCTCCAATGCCTTCCCCATTAGTTAGGTTATTTCTAATTAAAAAGGAATTTCTCCCTGCAATATCTATCCCTATTTGATCACAGCAGGTATCATCAAATATAACGAGCTGTTTCTGAGGATCTTAATGAGTAAAAGTTTCCTTTCAATCTACAGATTAAAAATTTGGTAACAAAATCTGACAGGAGAGCACTGCTCTTTTTAGGCCACTTGATCCTTTCGAAAAGCTGATTTATATGGACCCAAGAGAAAAAGGCTAGTTGTCAGAATAGCCTTAATTTTAATGGAGGGCAGGATGCAGAGGAACCTGAAAGCAAATGGAGGTATGAGAGGCAGACCTGGGAAAGAATCTCAGCTGGAGAAACGCAGAGAGATTTAAGAAATAGCTTATGATTCTTCCATGTTTGTTTTGCATTAATTTGAGGTGAGGGGAGACAAAAAGAAAGATGTGAATTAGCTGGTCAATCAAAAGGTACCTCTGAGCTACCAATGTTCCACAGCTATGAAAAAATTAATACTGTTGTAGGAAATATTAGAAAATATATTTTTAGTGGAGATAGGAAAACAGCGTCATCTTATAAAACACTACTAAACCTTCATTTGGAATACTATATAAAATTCTGTTCATAAGAAAGACAAACTTAATTTGGAATAGGTACAGAGAAAAGTCCCCAGGAGAGCGGAATATCTTTCTTTAGGTGGAGAGAACAAAGGAATTTGATTCATTTAGTCTAGGCAAATAAAGGCTGAGAGGAGGTGTGATGCCTCTTTATAAGAGGGAGAGAAGCTGTTGAAGTTAAAGGATAATATCAATATTTATCATTTAAATTTAGAATGGAAAAGTAGAAGTAGATTTCCTAACCATTCAAAAAGTAAGGTTCTAAAATTCTCTTCCAGGTAGGATAGCATGGGTCAGGAACTTAGACTGTTTAACTGTGGAACTTCATAAAGCTATGGAAAGAGTTGCATAATTAAAACAGACTTCCTGAGGGTAACAAATAATGTCCATGGTATGAGTCTTTGGGTATCTGGTGTATTGGCATAT